TCGATTCTACCTACCTTCGATAACAGAAAACTGAGAATAAAATGCAGGATCGTTAACGAGTATTCGTGTACTAAGTGCTCTTTGTCATATATGAGTTAAACATATTTAAGTTCGCTAATGAAGTTATATGTATATATATTATATGTGTATATATATAAAACATTTCACCGTGAAGGTTAACTTATTGTGCTTACAATCAGCTTATCGTATTTTCAGTTGTAACTTGCAAATTAGTATTTCTGTATTCCTCCAAAATTAATTTCGAACATTATAGAGGATATTATTACATTAACTTCTTACTCTAGGGAACAAAGTGATTATCCTTATTTAAAAAAATGCCGGATATCAAAATCACCCCTTTGGGAGCTGGCCAAGATGTTGGAAGAAGCTGCATCCTTGTATCCATGGGTGGGAAGAATATTATGTTAGATTGTGGTATGCATATGGGATTCAATGATGAAAGACGATTTCCAGATTTTTCATATATAGTCCCAGAAGGTCCAGCAACTAATTATGTTGATTGCGTCATCATTTCACACTTTCATTTAGATCATTGTGGTGCTCTACCATATTTTACAGAAATGGTAATATAGTAAATATAAATTATGTGTATAAACTATGTATGTGTTACCCAAAATTTATTGCACCATTTTGTTTACAGGTAGGTTATACTGGACCAATTTATATGACTCATCCAACAAAAGCCATTGCTCCTATCTTACTTGAAGATATGAGAAAAGTTGCTGTAGAGCGTAAAGGGGAAAGTAATTTCTTTACATCACAAATGATAAAGGATTGTATGAAGAAAGTAATTGCTGTTACATTACATCAGTCTGTAATGGTTGACTCGGAATTAGAAATAAAAGCATATTATGCAGGACATGTACTTGGTGCTGCAATGTTCTGGGTTCGTGTTGGCTCTCAAACAATTGTATATACTGGAGATTACAACATGACTCCTGATAGACATTTAGGTGCTGCCTGGATAGACAAATGCAGGCCAGATTTACTAATATCAGAATCAACATATGCAACAACCATCAGAGACTCTAAGAGATGCAGAGAACGAGATTTTTTAAAAAAAGTATGCTTTGTTAATTAATTGTATGTATCTATCAAGTTTTCTCTGAAATTCACAAAATTTTTCTTGTAGGTTCATGAATGTATAGATAGAGGAGGAAAAGTATTAATTCCTGTATTTGCTCTTGGACGTGCACAAGAACTTTGTATATTATTAGAAACCTATTGGGAAAGAATGAATTTAAAAGTCCCTGTATATTTTGCTCTAGGATTAACTGAGAAAGCAAATAATTATTACAAAATGTTCATCACATGGACTAATCAGAAAATTAAAAAAACTTTTGTACAAAGAAATATGTTTGACTTTAAGCATATAAAACCATTTGATAAAGCATACATTGATAACCCTGGAGCTATGGTCGTATTTGCTACTCCAGGAATGTTACATGCTGGACTATCTTTACAAATTTTTAAGAAGTGGGCACCAAATGAAGCAAACATGGTTATCATGCCTGGCTTCTGTGTACAAGGAACCGTTGGGCACAAAGTTTTGAATGGTTCTAGAAGAATTGAGTTTGAAAATCGACAGATAGTCGAAATCAAAATGTCTGTAGAATACATGTCTTTCTCTGCACATGCTGATGCAAAAGGTATTATGCAATTGATACAATACTGTGACCCTAAAAACGTTATGCTAGTACATGGAGAATTTGCTAAAATGGAATTCTTAAAAGAGAAAATTAAACAAGAATTTGGAATCAATTGTTACAATCCTGCAAACGGAGAAACTTGTGTTATAACGACTGTTTCTAAAGTTCCGGTCGATGCTTCCTTAGCGTTATTAAAAGCCGAAGCAAAAAGATATTCAGCTTTGCCTCCAGATCCTAAAAGACGAAGATTACTTCACAGTGTCTTAATGTTACGTGAAGATGGAGCGTGTCTAGTAGATGTAGATGAGGTAACTATATTTTATTCTAGATACACGTGAAAGTTGCTAATAACATTATTCTTTCATAAAAGGTAACGAAAGCAGCTGGTATAATGAAACATGTAGTACGATTTACGTCTACTGTGCAAGTAAGAGACCCTGGTCCAGCACATTCAACGACTTTAAAATTATTACAACCCTTGAAAGAAAGATTATCAGGTTGGACAGTTCAGTTAACAGATGGATCAATATCTGTTGAATCCGTTTTAGTGAAAGTGGAAGGTGATGAGGATGACCAAAAAAGTGTGTATGTGTCATGGACAAATCAAGACGAAGATTTGGGTAGTTATATTCTAGGATTTCTACAAACAATGTTGAATTAACAAAATGATAAAATATTCAACAATTATCATCATAAACAAAAACAATGTTAAGAGATTTTTGTAACCTGTGATATCGCTGCAATGAACACATATTTTTGTAAGAAAAAAACGCTTCGTATATTCATAAGAGTATTCGTTGCATTTTAAAACATTCAAGGAAAGAAAAATAATTGTGTTTACACTGTATACAGGGTGTTCGCCCACTGATCTCAGAAACATTAATGGGTGATTCTATCTGTCAAAGTAAAATGAAAATCAAGAATGACGAAATTGTGTTGGAGGCTTCACATTCACAAGCAATCAAAAATTAGGGTCAGAAACACCTGAGATCAGGCATCCTTCATACAAGCGGTAAGCGTAGAGCACGATAGTCACGGCGCATATACAGGTGTCACCTATGAAAAAAATACGCTCTTAATTAACAAAGAACAAGATGGATATGTGGACTGTGTCATACTTCCTGCTGTTTTCTATGGCTCGACCAGCCCGTCATCACTCCGTCCTTAAGGTGTTATTCTTGCTAGCAAACACCTTTGGTGTGCTAATTCCACTCACTGTTTACACATTTTTATTACTTTTCTGTCCTTTGTGTCGATTCGAATAACGTTTCCTTAGTTCGGTAGCAATCATCAACGCAAATTCATCTAGTCGCCGGGAAATAGCCTTCAAAAAAGAATATCTGTTTGTTATAGTATTAATTTAATTTTTAATTTCAATTTCATTTAAGTCAGTTTATTTATTGTACATTCTGTGTGTGTGTGTGTGTGTGTGTGTGTGTGTGTGTGTGCGTGCGTGCGCGCGTGTGTGTGTGTATTGTTGTTGTCTCTCTTGTGGATTTGAACAAGTGACCAGATTTAATGTCATCTAACAATTCAGGTATGCTTTTTTTATGAAGTGTCGTAAGATAGTCCAGGCTCGAGTGAAGATGTTACACATTACTTTTTTTAGCCTACGCCGTGACTGCTGTGGCTTACGCTTACCGCTTGTACGTACATCGCTTGATTTTAGGCGTTTCTAGCACGAATTTTTAAATGTTCATAACTTGAAACTGCAACTTCCAACACAATGTCGTCATTCTTAATTTTCGGTTTATTTTGACATGTGGAATCACTCCTTAACATTTCTAACACCAGTAGCCAAACACCATGTATACTTTTATTAAGTATGTACTTTAAATGCAAAACAATTAAAGTCTTGATTTGGATAAAATGTGACATAAATACATCTAAATCTTAATCACGGCAGAAAATATAAAATTGATAATTCTTTAATAATACATTACTTGAAATGTATATTAAGAGAAGATCAGATTATTATTATTATTATAATCTGGTTATATAGAAATTATAAAATTTCTATCATTCTTATTTGTATATTTCTTTTATTTATATTCCAGTTATTACATAAAAATACGAATACTTTGTATTGAGTTCATCAATTATTTCACAAGTGACATTCTCATTGTACCTGCTGAAAAAAATCCCATTAATTTAACATGAATAAAAATATACACTCTAAACATGTTTGTATAATTATTTCTTCATTTATTATATTGCCAAAGAAAAACAAAAGTAAATGTATAAAAGTTGTAAATATCAGTGATATTGTTTGATTCTAAAAATGTGATTAAATAAATTATAATTGATTGTACTTACAAGTTACTATTTAAACTCGCATATTATTCAACGTCAAATAAAACAAACATTTTATTAACTATTTCTATTTTTCTAAATAGAAAGTACAAATAAGTACGGTGTGTAACTAAACATACGCGGCTTTATAAAATAAACGAAACAATTATAATTTACAAAACAAATATTTAATATATTATAGAGTATTTTGAATTATCTGGGTTGATATTTCGTAATGCATGATTATAATAAAAATTATAACTGATTCAAAAACAAACTAACATAAAAAGTTTAATAAACGCTCTTTGAAGTGCCCAATTATATATAATTTACAGTATCTTAATTTACCTGTCCAAATATGTTTCCGAACAGATTCTGTTATGTCTTTGCTATAATTGTGCATGATTAGTCTTTCTCGTGATTTTATAAGGATAATAATTATTTGTAAATTTAAAGTTGCCTTTAAAAGCCACCTATTGAACACCACAATATTTCTTTTTTATACAGGTGATCACACGATCATGCTTATTTATTGCACATAAATTCATCAACGATTTCAGCTTTGTATACAAATGCTTTAACAATATGAAAATCGTCTAAAAATCTGGTGTTTGCTACTCATTTAAAAAACAATTACACAAAAGTGCATATTCAGCCATTCATAGTTTGAGTATCGTGATTTTCTTTAATGTACATGTATTTCACTATATCAATGATTTGATATATTAATGATTCTTAAATAAAAACACTACGAAGGCGCTAAAAATAGTTATAAGCATGTGAGCGTTTTATCTTATAAAACAAAATTAATATTTAAACAATAAAAATTGTTATATTGCAATTTACAATTTCAATAATTCTTAATGCATGCTTATCTGCCTACTCAATTATGTAACCATGACAAACACCAGAATCAATATTTCTCAGTTTTGTAACTACAAGGTTTCATTATTTATACTTTTTCCACATAGTAAAATATGATATTCTTTTTATAAGAAACATTATTCATAATATTTTTATCATTATATTAGTCTTCTCAGTAGCAAAGTTTACCATTTATGTCTTATAGAGCGTGGGGGGCATATGCGATTTCACTTGGATTTCCTTTTTGAATCATCTGGCTTCGCGCTTCGTTAGCGTAGTTTGTTCTTTGAAGTTATTTTTTTCTTGAACCACCCTGAAAAATGTATTAATCAAATTTATTATTGTGCCTGATCTTTCAGAAAGAAGCTGCATAAAAAGAAATAAAATTTTTTATTCATCCACATTTATTCCAACAAATACGATGTACAGACTTTATTTCTCTGAACTAATAGTTAATTCCCGCAGCACTATTTGGTAATATTTGTTAAATTGAACAATCACCTTGTAAAAGAAATTAATTTGGGATGTATCTGTTGGAGAGATAAATTTCAAGTATGCATCTAGTTTTTTGCATGCTTATTTATGTTCTGAACAAAAATTTTGTCCAAGTATATATCAAAGAGAAGTAAATCGTGTAAAAATACATTTAAAACATAGAATAAACGATTGATAAATGAGCACACAATATTAAAATGATTTTATATAAAATCCATCACCAAATATAAAAAGCAATATTAAAAATTTGTTGTTAATTAACAAAATATAATTACACGTATGAAGATAACATAAATACAGGTACATTACCACAAGCAAAATAATGTATAAACGAATGTATTGGGAAGCACATAATATAAAATATTTATGCTGTTTCGGTTCTAAAGGAAATTTGGCATGGTTCTATTCACACAAATTACAATACTTTTTATACTTTCACGTGTAACTACAAATTAAACAAAAAAAAGGACTGCAAATTTTCAAACAGCATAAACTTAACGATATAGCAGAATAACAAGAAGTACAGTTTGTTATATGAGCATATGTATAGCTTACTAAATGTATTGTAGCAGGTAAAACAATATACTATGTTATATCCAACAATGCATGTACTATCTGTAAAAAAATTAATTAAAATACATAAAAGCGATGCAAATGTATGAAAAATAAAAAGGATGAAACAATAATGATTCAGAACTATTGATGAAAAATCATGTAATTGATTTAAGAGCAAACATAAAGTTCGTTCATGGTGTGCCCTTTACCCCAGTGTTTGTGTTTATAAAAACTGATCCACATGTAGCTATGCATGTTGTTCAATACCCATTGTCTCCGTATCACTCATTTCTGCACAGCGAATGTTACGTGCTTTGTTGATTTTTGTACAAATGTCTCTATATCAATATAAGGAATACGGCACTATCTGTACGTGAATAAACAACATTAGGCAATTAATTTAGCTTCTTTACTGTCCACATGTTATGAAACGTACACTCAAATTATGTAATCATTATTGCATAAGATAAGAATAATGCATTGAGACATTACACAATGCATTATTGTATTTTGTGCTGACATAGACAACACCTTACAACATGAATTTGAATTATTAAAATTGAAATTGATATTACAATATGAAAGAAATGGTGGAATTAAACTGAAATCATTTAAATTGATCTCCCTTAGCATACATGATGAGACAGTCAAGATGCAAGACATTCAAAATGCACTATGATGATGCATAAGAATATAAAGCTAACAAGATCTAAACACTATGCAACATATCTTGGGGGACACTCACATTATAATAACTTGTAATTTATAACAACTAATAATAGAAAATTATGGATAGATATATCTCTAAGGTATTGGAGATATTCTCAAGTAAAATATATACAAATGCGGTATAAAATTTAGATATAACTAAAATTCTGTTTATGTTATGTTTAACTAAATACTAACGTGCTAATATGAAATGTTTAATTAATACTATGATACAAATGGAAGTATAATGTACAAATATCTAAATGAAGACTATTTTAATGACTTAACACACTTTGCACTTAAAGTTTCGTTTTTGAAAAACATTTTAAAGATATTACAGGAAAATTTTTGAATGTACAATAGTATGTGTTTTCAAGATATTATACTGTTTACCCTAAACATCTTATATGTATTGTTTCAATTTTGTATGGTTTTTATATTAGACATCAGTATACTACTTAGTGTTACTTAACTAATAATGCTACTAATGTATGATTTTGTCATGTTCGAAACGAAATTTTAAATTTGAGATCCTTCTTTTATTGTTTTATTTTAATTAAACTTAATAAGTAAATTATATATTTCGTACTTTTCAGCTGACAAAATACTACTAATTATAAGCAAATTATAAAAAAGTGCTCATTAAAGTAAGAATGTAACATTTTTAATGCTACATAAAATGTGTGCAACATAAATGAATGTCTTAAAATAAATTTTCATAGTAAGACCTGACATAAACTGCTAATAGCAGTCTACTATCGACCTTTTCAACAGAAAAGTTCCAGAATCTCACGTTTTGATTTGCATACCTGCGAATCTGCGCCGTTTTGCCATGGATTTCTTAGTGGACTGTCAGAACAATGAAAACAATAAAAATCGTTATTTATCGGTGTAGCATGAGATTTTGTACGTCAAAGCTAAGTTTCATATTTATCGACGAATAATGACGAACTGCTGCTGTGTCTCAATAGCAACTGGTATTCAAAAATAATGGTAAATGTGTCTTTTCTTCTATGAAACAAACACTGGGGACAAAGGGATACGTATGCTATTAGTTTGCATCAAAGTTTCTCTTTTTTGCATCGGTGAGGTCGTATGTGGATAAAATGAGATGGTTCCTGCAATATATACATTACTCAAACATTTGTTTGCCAAAATAAAAATAACAAATAATTAAAGCATGTAGGTACATATGTGTGTAAAATACTATAAGTACAATACAGTTTTATCATACAGCCTTCAAATGATCTGTCTTTCAACGTTGTAAATGTCACTCTCTTTCATATCTCTTTGTAATGTATAAACTAATTCAACCTATAAACATAACAAAATAATCAATCCTGAAAATATTGCCATTTTGACGTTAGCTTTCAATTTAAAAATTATCACTTACATAAAGTAACAACTTAAAGGTAATATGTATATATATAATTACAATGCGCGTGTAAATAACTTTTTAGCAAAGTATTCTGAATACTTTGTATATGTATAAACTAGTTATGTATAGAAATATATGTAAAATAATAAAACATATTCGTATATATGTAAAACGATCAGCATTTAGTATAACTACATGCCACTTTTAAATATGATTGTTCGTAATGCTTTTATGAATATGGTCACAATAAGTAACATAGCAATTAAGTTGAAATATCACAATTGATCTACCACAAAATACTGCTTCAAAATACAGACTACTCAAATAATATTAGGTAATGTGGCAACAAAATGATAACATAGGGACTCAAACTTATCACAAAGAATCGTGATTGTTCTCTTTACATATACTGTACCCAGAACTTCTAAACAAAAATAATTAATATCCGAACACCGTTTAAGAATATACAGGGTGTCTCAAAAAGATGGGACAATCCGCAACATTGCATATTCCTTGTACAAATACAAATCGAAAAGTCCTTCACCGATTTGTAATCTGACGCTTCATTTCCAAGATATTAGCAGATATACGAACTCACACGTACGCACAGGTCCAGTCAAGAAATGCACGACCTAGGTCACTGGCCTATTGTTGCTTCTTGACTGTGTCTGCGCGTACGTGTGGCCAACACTCAGATAATTGGAGTTCGTTTAACTGCTAATATCTCAGAAATGGAACTTCAGATTAGAAAACGGTAAAGGACTTTTTGATTTGTATTTACATGAGGAATATGCATGTCGTGGATTGTCCCATCTTTTTGGGACGCCCCGTCTATAATTGAATATAATTTTAGAAGGGTGAACATTACACTATACAAAATAGCTAATAATTAATTTCTTGTAATAACAAGACTTATCAAACAACAGATACACGTTCTTTATTAATTAAAATAACATTCATTGCAATACTGAGCCCCAATAACATAATAAACATATCTCACATTTGAATAACTAACTGAAGTGCGCCTATATCGTAATCGAGCCAGCAATATCTTTTCCTTCTTTCATAACTTTGAAGTTTACCTTCCTTTTTTTCTTGTGCTTTTTATGCTGCTGGTTCACCAAGGGACTCCAGCAAGCCTGTGTGTCTTTATCTGTCGTATGACAAGATGTGGAGGAGTATTTTGTTGAAAGGGGGCTGTTGTCAATTTCTCGTTGAGACTGAACCAAATTTACAGACTTGGTTATGGAACAATTTGCGAGCTCTGTATTCTTGAGAAGAGTATTTTCTAATGCAGCTATCAGAGTCTGTGCTGCTAACGGTGGCTGCATTTCAGATATATTATTATTTACCTCTTCACATGTTACATTAAGTAACGACAATTTGTCAAACTTTTAGAATTGAACGACGGAAAAATTTGCAAAATTGTCGTTTTAGAAATGGTTTTAAAAAAAACAAATTATGAACAACAATTAATTTGCTGATACATATTCGTTTGATAAAAACTTTATCGTCTTATACATTAATAAAACAATTCACATGTTTTTCTTAGTGTATGTCGAAACAATATACGTTTAATAAAATTTCTTCATGCTTAGAAGAATGACAACTCAAAAAGTAATGCCTACAGCTTATAATAAATAAATCACTGACTAAATAAAAATGTTCAGTGTATATACATATAAATATAATACATTATAACTTTTTAAATAAGTAAACCGATCTTGTTTCATACATATATAAAACCTTACGCTTTGAATTGTTATTTTTCTAAATACGTAGCCATCTAAAAAATATCCATAGAATGGCAACTTTCGTTGCCAATAAACATCGGCAAACAAATCCCTGTGTAGAGCATTCATATGATACATGATTAAATGTTTATAGACAACTTCTAATCACATCAAATTATCAGGTTTGTGTTGAATGTGGTATTACTAAGCAACTTGCAACATTAATAATATGGTATTATTAAATATTAACTGGAACATTACATACGAAATTAAAGCAAAACATGTAAACAATAATACCACACCTAGATTTGCATGTATTCTAAAACTGATAAATATTATAAATGGACATGGAATTCAAAAGTAAAAATATTTATACTTCTCTGTGACTAATATTACTAAAATAAAATATAATAAAATTTAACTATATTTCATACTATTATTATTAGCATTCCTCATTAATTTATTAAGTATTAATATTATATTATATATATAATACTCTGTAAAAGACAATTAAGTACAATGATGTCTCATTACACGCATTCCACATAGTAATTAAAAAAAGAAATAATAACATTTTTTAATGATATACAGTGTGGGACAAAATGATAGCACACATCGTATAATCATTTATTTTTGTATTTTAATTGAAGATTAACTAAGTATTTACAATACAATCAATTGCTTATTAAGCTTGTAATAATGTTTACTACTTTCTTTGAAACACAATTACTTCACTCTGGTTTAAGCACTTTCCACAACCTATTATTTAAATTTTCTATGTATTCGAGTACTAAACAATACTGAAACACTAAATCTGTTCTTGTTCGTGCTAATCTGCGGCTCAACTACGACTGGAGAGCGAAAATATTACAATTATTTTGTACGGGGCGTAGTACCTTGTGTTTACGTTTTCATGTAGGAAACATTTCAATGTTATTCTACAAAAACAATTATTGGTATACGTAATCTTACAGATACATACAATATATAGGGTGGATAAGAGGCAAGTTATTTTGTGTTTATTTTAAAATACAAGGCATTATTTTAGATGTGCTATCATTTTGTCCCACACTGTAGATATGGATGACTATAATGTTTTAACTGCCTTTTACAAAATAATATCTATTATGTAATTATGACCATACAATTGTTACACTTAGTGAAATAATGGCAAAACACAACATTCGTTTGTTAGTTATTATTTACGGAAATTCATTATTACTATTACATATGTCTTGTCAATGTTTTGCAGTATTACGTAGGTTCTCACAATTTCGAATTATAGCCGTAACGTTCATCGTTACAGTTATAATACAAGCTTTATGAATTTTTATACAAAAGGCACTGGACAAAAATCAATTAGGACACTTGTAAAACGTTTAAATTTAATATATACTAACCTCGGAATTAGAACACTCAGAAGTTGGTGGCCCATTTAACACTGACTGTTCCGAACTGCTACAACCTCCGCTAACTTCATTCTAAAATAAAAAAGAAGTGTAATAATATTTATTACTCAATAGTATCCCAGTATTCTGATTGCATTTGTTAATTTTATTCATTTTGATAATATTTGAATATACTTTATACCTTAAGCTGTGATACTTCTTGCTGAAGTTGCGCAACTAGAGAACGTAACTTAGTCACTTCCGTATCTAACGTTGCTCTTTTATGACATTCTGACTCAAGTTCTTCCGATAAGCGCGATTTTTCCTATAGTAAGGATAATTTAGAAACAAATTATAATACAGACTTCACATTTCTCTGTTTAATATAATTTCGTTTAGAAGTTATATAAAAATGTATATACCTCTTGAAGTTTTTCCAATGCTATTAAATCATGAGTATTTCCTTCAGTTGAAACTGATTGTGATGTAGATCTAAGAGTCAGTAAATCAGCATTAGCTTGTTCTTTAAAAGAGTTATCATCCTTTAATCTGGTTTCCAACTCTGCTACCTTGTTTTGTAACTATATACATGTAAAGAAATTTCTTATTTATTTATTGAATGTATTTCTTAATTCTTTTATGTAATATTTGAAATTTACCACATTATTTCTATCATTTATTCATAAGTTCATTTACCTCAAGCCTGAGATTCACAACTTCATTTTCCTTTTGCCGAAGTTGAGATTCCCATCTTGTTTCTTCTGACTCTACATGACTCTGAAGCTTATTAAGCATACCTTCCTATAAGTGTTTCAAATAAATGTACCACAGATCTACGTTAAGAGAAATGATATCGCAACTGCATGAAATACTTACTGTATCATCAATAATTTGTTTATAATGTGTAACCATGTCTTGTAAGTTTTTATTTTGTTTCTCCAAATCTGAATGCATGTTACCTAGATTTTTCTTCTTTATTTCAATCAAAACTGTGTTCACTTTTTCTTCAAAAACTCTGAGCCATTGATCATGTGACTTTTCAGATACTTTTATTTCTGGGAATATCCTTTGTAAGAAAGCTTTTGTTAAATCTTCTTGTTCCACTTTTACTTTTTGTGTAACCTCCTAACAACAAGTAAAAAATATATATATATATACATATATATGCTCTTAAATCTTCTCAACTGTATTGAGTAAAATACGTTTTAATATATGAAATTTGGGTTAAAATACAGTTTACAGGTTATAAAACAATTGAGTATTAATAAGGTAACCAGACGTCCCAGATTAGGTACGACTGTCCCACATTTGTGTCGTTTGTCCCGGAAAGTGTCCTGGATTGGATATGTAACCTTTTTAACATTTTCGCAGTGGCACAAAGTTGCTGTTTCCTCTACTTCATGCTAGTAAATTTTATATGAATAAACACAAAAAAAATAGATCCACCACATTTTAATGACGTACAATTAAGTAAAACTAAGTAAATAGTGTTCTCAAAACTGTTGACTTTTTTTTGGGCATGTCCCGCATTGCAACGTGAAACATCTGGTTACCTTAGTATTACTGTAGATGCGTTGATAACGAGAAAGAAAAATAATTTAGGATTAAATTTGGAAATAAACTGAAGTAAATAAAAATGGGGACTTACATCAAAGTTTTTCCCATTATTAGATTTAGTACGCGACTCGGCAGCAGAAAGAGCTTCCATCACTTTCCAGTTTTTAACACGCAACTCCTGTTCCAACCATAAAAAAATGATCAGTGTATTATAGCCTGATAGCTAGTACTTTACGCATAAACGAATCAAAAATACTTAGATACTAATTGTTTTTTAAAGTTAAAATATAAAAATAATTTGGCAAAGTGATGGAAGCAATTACATAATTAATTTTGTAAATATATGGACAGATCTCTTTCACGAAAATTGCATGTACACTGTACATTGGACTAAACGGATTCTTAGCCACCTGTTTGTACATACGTTGTAACTTACATTATTTTTAGATCTTTGTGCTTCTAAGTCATCGTTTAAACGTGCAGCAAGACTACGTTGACTATTTACATCACTTCGTAATGCATCAACTTGAGCATTTAATTGAGTGAGTTCTGCTTCTTTATGAGTTAATTCTATCTTTAAGGCGTTCAGTTGACTCTCCTTTTGGGCCAACCTTACAATAAAAAATCACTCACAGCATTCTGCATGTCAAAATTATAAAATTTGTAATTGTGTACATATATATATATATACATACAGATTAGCATGTTCTACGAGTTGCACATTCTTTTGAACATTGTCATCGATTCCATTTTCTCGGCCTTCTGCAGCTGGTCGTTCAGTAGTTGCTGCCAACTGGGATGCTAATGACTCATTTTCTTCTTGCAATTGTTTAAGTTGTTTTTGCAATTCCGTGAGATTCCCGAGCTAGAAAAGAACGATTATGTCTATGTTGTATGAATGAAATTGAAATTTCTGGTTGTATTGTAAAAATAATACCTGTGTAGAAAGTCTATCGTTTTCTTCCTGCAATCGTGTAATCTGTAACTGTGTATCGCCTGCTTTCTTTTCATTGTTTTGTAACCTATTTAATTCAACTGTCAATATTTTCATTTCATTAGCGGATGCATTTGCAGGTGTAAGTTCTGCTCGAGTATTTTCTAATTCGGCTTGTGTTTGTTTCAGTTCCTCTGTCAATTTTTGCATGTCACTCCGATAGACGGTGACTTCGTCCTCGGCTTTCTTCACACTTTCTATTGCCTTTTCCAAGTCGATATTCATCATATTCAATTTCTTTTGTGCAGTGTCTAATTGTGCCTCTAACTGTGCTACATTTTCCGTCGACTGTTTTAATTCAACTAGTACATTGTTAAGCTTGTCTTGAGATTTCTTGAACTCTTCTTCTTTATTTGCCAGTGTCATTTTAAGGGCTGTAATTTCAGCTGCTTCAGATTTCGCTTCATTCATAGAGACTGATAATTCGGATTTTATCTTCATTAACTCCGACTGAGCTTTATTTAATTCAGCTTTCAATGTAGAAGCATCATTAGCCTCTGTTTTTGCAGCATTTAATTCTGTCTGTAACGAGTTTACTTGTTTTTGAAGGTCTTGTTCATGACGATGAGCACTTTTTAATCTGTGATCCAAGTCAGCATGGGCACGATGAGACTCCTAGATAAATAAATCAATATATTTAAATGATGTAGAAAGTATAGTTACTATGCACTAGCAAATGATATGCATTGTATCTTTTTCTTACCTCAAGTTGTCTAGCAACATCTTGCAACCTATCGCCAGCTTCTTTGAAATGCTGTAACTGTCCTTCTGAATGCATCAATTGTCCTTGCATAAGTCCTAATTGTTGCTGTAACATTTCTATCTCTGCAGTGCTACTCTCGCAAGTTGCTTGTAATTCACTTTGCAATTCCTGTACTTCTACATGCTTCTGGGCTAATTGTGTTTTCAATGAATTTTCATTTTCACGCATTTGTGCGAACTGAACTTCCATTTGTTTCCGCTGTGCTATCAGTTCTTGTTGCAGATGGCCTTGAGTTTGTCCCTGATCTTCTTGCATCTTATGAATAATCGCAGCGTTTTCATTTACTTTAGTTTGCAATTGTTCAATCTGTCGAGTGAATCCTTGTTTTTCAGCGGCATGACTTTCTAAAATGTGTTGCATACGGGTATGTAACGTCTGGGTTTCTGTAACCTTAGCATTTAATGCTTCTTCTAGCTGTCGTACGTTAGCTGACAATCTAGACCTTTCAGAATTAAGTTCAGCTCGCAATTCCTTCAGTTTATTTTGGAAAGCAATATTAGCTTCGTGTTCATCTGCAAAGGCCTTCTCTTTTTCTGCCAATTGTTTTTTTAATTTAATGACAGGATCTGCACGACCTTCTGTCCATTCCGAATGTTCTGACGGATTATCTAGCTGTTTATTTAAAAGTTGATCAATTAAAATTTGTATTTCAGAACGGCTAAGCTCTGCTTTTTGAACTAAAGGCATCAAAAGGGACACATTAACAGCATCTTTGTCTCCACCTGAAATAACAAATATTATTTCAAATTAATAACGTTTCTATACACAACAATAAATATAATATTAAAAATCGTTTCATAATAAAAAGTTTATGGAATATTAATATCATAACAGTATTCTTTTATTGCATGTTTTTATTTATTATTTTAATTATGGCCAAACTGAAAGATTTGTTAACAAAGGAAACTTGTATTAAGAAAAGTTCGTTATTTTCCAAATCATACACAAGTATCTAATGGTCATCCTTATAAGGGAATAACCTTGACTGTACGGACATTGACCTGTGAAGATGGAAGGGGAACTGATCCTACCTCAGCCACATTCCAAAGCACTGAAGAATCTGCTTTGATGCACATAAGACAGATTCTTTGTAAAACATATTCAACTGATTTTTTTAAATGATGCTATAAAATATTACATACATTTAAATTTTTTAGGTATCTAAATTCAGTTTGTTTTCAATTATTTTTATAACATATGTTCAATACAATATTTATCATACTATAATACAAGCATTAAAATTTTTTAAAATCTTTTAAGGAAAATCTAAGTACTTATTAAGGAAATGCAGTTAATTAAATGTAAAAAATTAATGAAATCACTTACCAATTTGAGCCAAGATATCATTCTTCTTCTTTGCCTTTTTAGATTCTTTATTTGATGGTTGAACAGCTGGTGTAGTTTCCTTCACTGTTTCTTTTGTATCTTTAACAGGGGTTTCTTTCTGTTCTTTTATTTCTTTTGGAGAATCTTTATTGATAATTGGTTGAGCATTAACATTTACAGCTGTTTCTTTCTTTTCTTCCTTCTTCTCTTCCTTAACATTTTCATCCTTCTTTTTCACAGAGTCTTTCACATTTTTCTTTGCCTTTGTTGGAGTCTCCTTTGGAGACTTATTTACAACTGGTTCAGACTGACTGATTTGGTGTAAATTTTCTTTCTGTTCAGGAAAAAAATAAAGAAATGTGTTTTAGACCTCAGATAGATATTTGTTATAAACAAATATACACAACAATAAATTTTATATTAATTCAGATGTTAATAAAATTAAACAAAGTATTACACACGATATAAGCGTACAAAATAAAACCAAAAAAAAATTATAAAACAGTACATACCTTTACACAAAACTCACACAATTAGAAAAGAAAACCAAAATATACGATGACAATATAAGCTTCAAACTCCCTATTTATTTTAACGAGTTAGAGTATTTATTAGTTTAAAGCTTTAAAGCATATATAAATTTATATCTTTCGCATCCGCAGACGAGATATCTCGCGATTCGACATTATTTATTTAACAACCATTTCCCACAAAAATAATTCACATTCAACAGAATATTGTGCAGTATACAAAAAAAAACGAGGAACATAAAGAATGAAGGTATTTCTGTCGGTATTGTAATGTAGCACTATGTATAGCACCATATTGTGAAGTGTTTTACATAAAAGAACAAAAAAACACATTTTTTTCTTTTAAAAAAAAGTATATACTTTCTTCTTCTTCTTTTATTAATAATACATAGTCACGAAATATCTGACATGTAGCACTGTTAAATAATGCAATGAAAAGAGACGTGGGATATCTTCTGCAAACAATTGGATGGGTAAAAATCAATTCGCGAGATATCTCATCCGTGAATTCTGAAACGGTTAAGAAATGCCTTAATAGAATTAAAGAAGCGTTAACACTACTCTGAGTTGTAATTTCTGTGTTACACAAATAGCAGATTATGCAAATATGAAAAGTGAATGAAATGCAGACAAGGTAAAATGTTCTACCAAAAGCAAATCACTCACACTATGACTCCGTATGAGTTCGAGGTCGTCCTTTGGTTGAATGAGTTCAAAATGATTAGCCTCTTCCGAGGGGGGTTGTGAAGAACTTAATTCAGTCACAATAACCAATGGCTCGTCTTTATTTACAAGAATTGACTTTACCTTTTCAGACTTGCCTTTCTTCTTACTTCCTTTGCTACCCTCCTATGATTCCAATGTACATATTAAATGTTTCCCATATGTTGAACGAAATAAAAACAAAGAAAAAGGACATTTCACATTTACAGCGATGCATTTGTGACTTTACATTATATTGAAATGGACGTATAAAATTATTAAAATTTACTTCGGAATGTATAAATATTAATAGTAAAAAAAACTACAATTTCCGATAATCCCAAATAGAGAAAAACAATAACGATTAAAATTTTTCATTCGGTATATATACGAATATAACTTATTTACTTTTCACCTTAAAATTGTATTTATTTTGACCTCTTGGCAAACATAAATACCTGAAATTGACAAAGCCATTGTATTCAGCAAACAAAATATATTTTTCAGTTCCTATTAATATTGAACTTTTATACAATAATTTCTAAAAATAAAATTTTTAGTTTTCGTTAAATTTTTTACAATAAATACACATATATGATAAAATATTTTAAAAATGGAATCAAGTTTTTAAGTATTGCCCAACTAAATTAAATATTACAACATTTTATTGCTGCAGTTAGTTGTAATCTAAATGATAAAGTAGAAGTAAATGTAGGATAATATCATAACATGTGGTACAGTTATTTATAGAAATTAATCTTGAGCTTCTAAAAGTGTTTATCAATGGTTCATACACAAAAAACAGGCTTATTTTTATATTATTTAACAATTACTCAATTTTCTCATCTTTTTACATTCATAAAATATTTAGTAAGGTTACATAGAAGGCATTCAATTTTTTATCATAAATATTCTAAAATCTGCATTTAATATCATAAAATTATATTTTTAATGAACTCACCAGGGCATGACGTTAACTGTGTCAATACATTTAACAGATTATTAAATTGTACAATTTAAAACAATAAACTGTTGTTATATAAATACATATAAAAAAGTAATAAAAGATACATTAATATAACATATATATGGCAATTGAAGATCACCAAATAACAAAAGTATGCAACTTCTAGTATGTGTGTACATATATATATATATATATATCATAGAATTCCTTAAGAACAAATTTTTATAAAATTCAAGTGTCCATTTAAATATAATGCTCACAAAACTTAACGTAGTACAACTTTATGCAACTTTTGCAGATTTAATAAGGGAAAACATTAATTAGGATCTTACATTGATATAGGAGTGCGCAGTTATATTGTATTAACTTAAATTTTTTTAAAGAAACATAACAGTTTTAAATAAAAGTAATACTTAATGATTATACCACAATTATTAGCAGAGGACAAAAACAAAGCTTTATTATTTATTTAAAAATCCAAAAATTGGACACAAGTACTATTTTAAATAAACTAACCACATTAGTTTACACCAAAATGATACATTAACTATGTATGGCGAGGTCATGTTATATGTTATTAAAGAGTTATATTAACATATTACAATAGGTCTTTTAAGCAGGTAACTCCCAGTGAGTAATGTGATACCTCATGAATAGAAAGACCTTAAATGATACACAAGTATGACATACAATATGTGAGCATACTATATTTCATGCATGAAATGTATGAAAACATAAGATTAAAAAAGCCTGTGTGTGTTTTAATTTTTATATAGTGATTTAACATACAATACTGAACATGCAGTAAACATTTCCAAAATAAAAAGGGTAATGTTTGTTCCTAATTGTTTAATCCTAAGTAATTGCACTTTAATTAGAATAAAGTAATATAATTTTTTAAATCTTAACAATTATTGTAGGAAACAATTACCACCATTTTAAATGTTTTTTCTTTTATGAATTGCCTTTTCTATTTTTCGTTAATAATTCATAATTTGTTTTTGCTGTTACTCCAGCTCATGGAATAATATAATGTTTTATTTGAAATACAATTGTACATTTAATTTTAATTACAATTAGATAAGTTAAAACATCATTAAATCATTTTTGGGTGGTGCATAATTAAAGAAAAAATTCAAGGTAATTCTTTAGGGGAACTATTTGTACAGATTATATATTATATATAAAATTATAAATATAACGAGTGTACTTACCCGTAGTAGTGGTTCTAAGGGCAATATATGAGGATTTTCGTCAAATTGAACATGTTCTGGCTTTTCCTCTTTATCATCTCTTTCCTCCTTTTCTTCTTTCTTCTCTTTTACTTTTTTCCCTCCCTTATTCTTGTGCTTTTTCTCTTTACCTTTATCTTTTTTATCTACAACCAGTAAAAAAATCTTAACATAAACAATTATGAAATGTAGATTTGTTCATTTATTAGTTTAACATTAGAATTGAAAATTAATTTTCTTAGCAAAAAATACATTGAATATAGAATGGGAAATATATCTTTTAGACAAATATTTTATAAGAGAATTAAATGATACATTTTTACTTACTCAATAAAAGATCATCAGGTAGTTTCCTCTGTTCAGCAATTGCCTCTTCATAAGACTTTTCTTTTATACCAAACATTGATACTAAAACAATAACTGCTGCTGAAATAACTACCACTGCTATGTACACCAATCCTGTCTGGACATCCATTTTTCTAACGTCTACCTGTAAATGTTAAATACCTTTATTATCATACATTATAACTAATGATCATCAGAAGCAACACCTAACATATTAAAATCATATAAGAACTTCATAAACCAATGAATTACATAAAATTCCTTATCATTTAATATATTAGTCGATTCTTATCATAATTTGTTCTCAACAAATTTGAAGTAACTCCAATTTTTGAAATCAATTTTTCCTTCACAAAGGACACTATCACCAGATGTTACATTACTTATGAGTATTACCTGACTTACTTTCATTCATTGAAACAGATATTATTAACAAATTTCACAGTATTAAAAGATATTTTACACAATATTCGTGTAAATACATTCACTGAACTGGTACGTAATAACAGCGCAAAATGGACTACAGTAAAGTGATTCAACGGGTGAAAGTTTAGAGAAAAAGCAGCGTGAAAATGACATATGGATGACAATCGGATCATCGACACAATCGCCGGAGATGAGCTGAATTCATCGGCGTAAAATCATGAATAGGTAGAACCGGCAAAATAATGTGTATTGAATTAACATTCTATTAAATCAATGGAATCAGAGAGTTTTCTATACTTACGTCGTTCGGGAGAAATATTTACGGTAGTTCGTCTCCGCCAAGGAATGTAGAACGAATAGCGTACTATGTTTGTCTACTACCGAGAATCACGACAAGAATTCACACACGATGATTTCTTCTCAAGAATTATGGCGGCCGGACGTAGAGGCAAGTATACGTGTTCGAAGCCACGCCTATCAAAACTCCCGTTTTCTGATTGGTGCTGAACGCTGCCACGTATGCAAAACACTCGTATAAACAAGACTGAAATTCATCCACGATTTTCGTTAATTGTCGACGACAATTAACCACAGTGAATAATTGATAACCTAATTTAATTCTTCACCACTGACACGTTACATGATACATATGAGGGTCAATACGTTGTGTGACACTATGTCAGTCTATGTACTAAAATCACGCTGACCAACTTCATAAAACATTTGATTTGATCACTCCTATCGAGCATTGCAAAGACAACATATATCGGAATGTCTCACACAATGGATTACGATCTATTTTTTGTTAACTATTAAAAACAAGTTTCTTTCTTTATAGATATAGATAACAATTTTTAATATTTTTTAATACACTCTGTTTATAAATAGACGAGAAAGTTTACTTGAAATATTTTTTTAATATATACCGTGAAAGAATTAATAGCTACTGAAGTAACGTTATGTTAAACTATTGTTGTTGGAATAGTTTGATACTAGTAATTAGAATACTTATGCATCTGATTTGTTGTCTACAAACTTCTAGAAGTTTGTTATTCATAATTGTGCGAAGTAATTCTCCTTGTACAAAGCTTAATAAATATTGCTGTTTCTTTTACAAGTGAACAAGATATATTTGATAAATAAAATAAGGATAGATCTGTGTCTATTCAATTTTATTATAGTTCATAATAGATTTTGTAACATGTAAAAAAATATGTCTTTATACCCATACTTTCATAGTAATGTATAATATTAATTGTATCGAATTTAAGAAAAACTTTATTGAAATATTTTAATTACTATTCTAGAAATAATATGAAAATCATAAATTTAATTAATAATGCTAGTTATATCATTAGACTTCGTTTCAACAAATAGATATTTAATGCTCTCTATTTATACAATCTTAATCAATTTTTATTATCATGTATAACATTTTTAACAATCCTTATTATGCGTTATATACTTCTAACATAAGCTAATAGTAATTGGCATAAAATGAATACCTAAAAATTTCAATGAAATGTACCATATTTTTTTGCTGCTTTCGAATTTGTAAAAGCAGTGGCAGTCCTTCGAATTATTGTTTATAAAACTTCTGATTGCTCGCATATTATGTTATTCTCTTGATTCTTCAATGCGAATATTATTATTGTACTGTAAATCGATAAATTATATACGCATCTTACAAATATTATTTCTCATTTGGAAATTTATTCCAAAATCATATACGAAAATGATTCTTTGCTGTAAGACTTTTCTTATTCTTATATTAAAAAGAAACATTTCGAGATTATTTTAGGAATGTTCATGCAACTGCTCGAGCTTCGGGTAAGAAGCTCTCCCAATATTTGATGACTTGGTTTTGATATTGCAACATGGATTCTAGATATTCTGTTAATTGCTTCTTAAAATCTTCCACTCTTACTAATTCAAATCGTTCAACTTCTTTCTTAATCATTTTCGAAATATTTTCAAATTCTTCTTGTCCTCTATCAACTTTTGCTTCCCATTCAATAACTTCGGTAGCAGCTTGACTTGTTTTATCACTTCTACCAGATTGTTCCAGCCTTGCTTTTTGCTCTCGCTTTTTATTTAACATAATTTGAGCATGTTGCCAGTTTTGGAAAACTTTTACTCGCTCATGGAATACATCCTGAAGTTAGTAACGACATTTCAAATTAATATAACATGAAGAACAGAAAGCTTAAATATAAAGTGATTACTAACCTTTATTGCTCCAATGAGTGCAACATAATCTCGTAACATTTCTCCAAATTGATAGAGATCACTATTGCTTTGTGCTTTTCTAACCACTTCTATTTTTTCTAAAGTCTCAGCCAGCTGAGCTAATGCCCTTCCTAAAGATGCCCCTGGTTCACCATGACCAAGAACTGCAATAGATCTCGCTGTCGCACCAGTACACGTTGCTAATTCCCTTCTCTGATTAGTTAAAGTGTCAACAGCAGAATGTAGTGAACGTAACTGAACATCAAGAGAATCAATTTGTGACGTCTTCTCTTCAAACCACTGTAAAATAAATAAACCAAAGACATGATGTCTTAGTTTACACATATTTTTTTATAAAGTTAGATTTCCTAAATTTTACTTTATCAGTTTCATCCATTTTGTATGTTATCTTGTTAACAGTTTTTCCAACTTTATTAAAGAGTCTCATTACTCCTTTACCACTAAGTGCAGATGTATTGGTAGCTTTTGGTAACTCCATATCTGTTCAGAAAATACATCAATTTTTCAATGTAATTGTATTTAAAAATATATTCCATTTTTTCATTATGATTTACCTGCTTCCAAAAATTCTCTAAAGTCAGGATCAACACTGAGAACTGGGTGAGCTGCAGTTCTGTTTAAATATCTTTCAAGTGCTGCTCTACGTCTTTCAAGAAACTCTGTAGAACTAGAGTTCTGTTCTTGACTCTTGTCGCCTGACATTTTAATCTTAGTTGTCCCTAATTAAATAATTAGTTTAATGTATTAAATAGTATAGTAAGTAAATATAGATTTAGAAAACTATCAAATTCATACCAATTACACTTTTTTCTGGAGCAGGAGGAATTATTCTACCATTTCTAAGGTATTTATCTGTTAATTTATCATAAAGGCCAAGGAAGTCACTGAAGCGTCTAATAACACTGAAATTTCTCTTTCTAAATATCGGCATATTTGTTTTTGTTTCAACCTTATAAGCAACATAAGCACCCATACCATCTCCAATTTTTTGAGGAGAAGTTACCGTAATTTTTAGAAATACGTCATTTGAATCAGGTGATACCTGTAGATAAAAATAATATTAGAATATTGTATACTTCTTCATTTTGTATAAATAATATTTAATAACACAATATATACCACATCCAATGATTGATTCTGTATAATATTTGTTGGCAACACATCTGCAGTATCATTTATGGGAACATCTTGGAGGTCACCTATATCGCTACTCATCGGTCCCAATGGTGGACTTAAAGGTCCTGGTGCAGGACTTGATACAGATGAAAATGAATTTTCTTCAGGTGCATCTCGTAACGTTAACTTTGGTAATTCTGCTTGGATTGTTGAAATTCCATTATAGGGAGATGAATCTTCCAGCAAATTCTGATCCTACATACAAAGAGTGTTAATAATATTGAATTATATTTGAGTAATTTTTAAAATGCAATAAACGAGATCGTCAATTAAATCGATTGTTTCTGATAACGAATAAATATGTACTGCATTGATTATAAGAACAAATGAATTCCAAGAGCGGTGCTCAGGTTGTAAAACTTTTACGCATATGTGTTATAATATTATAAAACGTACTTGTACGGCCGACGCGAAAATATCATCATCATCGTCATCCAAATCATCGACTTTTTTCTCGTTTGTGTCGAAAAGTGGTGGAGATTCTTTAATATCAGCCATCTTAGCGATTCTGTTAATCTACCGAGAAACGCACTGGGATCGGCCCCCTAAATAATGAATGCCAACGTCAATCGTTATCTACGGCTATCGTGTTTCTCACAGTATCTGTATTAGTGCGTTACAAACTTTTCAGTTTAATTTCTTTACACATTCCACGCATCAACGTGGAATTCAGTGGAATTCCCACGACGCACGGGATACGGTGCACGCACATTAACTTCACAAGTATACTATTTATAATAGTAAAAGGTGTCCACTAACTGACGAAGTCAATTCCTCTCGTACTTGAGTGAAAAAACTGCATCGTGTGTACGAAGTACTATACCATTTACATTAAATTGTTATTGACTAGTAATGAATTCATAGCGGTACATTCGAAAACTATGAAGCAGAATAAACTGTTTTTATATCCTAATTCTATATACTTTCACAAAAAAATGGATTTGAGGACAGGTGTTTACAATAAATTGACATACCATTTATTTATACTCAAAAACTTAAGGTCTAAAACATTTGAATATTTTTTTACATAAGATGAATTCATGTAAAGAAACTCCGATAATATTTTTCTGTGGATGTAAATATGTAGGAGACTTGACATATGTACAATTTTTCAATTTTTAATTTCGATGATCTTACGAAAATTACAAGTTAACTCTTGAGATAACAGATGGATTTCAAATTTCGATTCTTGCCGACTGATTTTCCGAAGAAACACGAAGCAAAAGAAATTGATGTGAAAATAATATATCCCCAGTTAGCCAGAGCCAGAGTCAGCCAGAGTCATCTGCAGACTCTGAGAGGTCTCTGAGAATAATTTTAATTTTTACATTTTGACGAAATCGTTCAAAACAGTTCAAAAATCGAAATAAATCCAATTTAAAGCGCAGAACGCGTAGAAGCGTAGAAGATGCTCTGTCTTGAAATTACCAAATGAAAGTAAGGATGAGAAGATAAAGGTAAGTAACGATATTTACAGAGAAAGGTTTGAAACAGGTATGTTGCACGAATATTTTTTACATTAATCATATTTTCAAATTATGTTTTCAAGGTATCCGTATTTTGAAGTAATACAGTACTGATTTTGTCATAAGCTATATTAACAGAATAAATGTTATATTTTTCAGATAATATAAAAGTGGAGAAAGATCTGTCGCATCCCACACCAAGCACATCCAGAATGATAACTTTTAATTACTGTAAATACTGTTAGTTGCATACTTTGGCGTTTATTGCTTTCAACATACATATATATGTTATGGTACTACAATATTTTGGATCTTCTTATATTATTTTTATGTAATTAATAATGAATTTGTATATAATCATATAAATAAACATCATTTTTATTAATTTCCAATCTTATACAGTAATTCTAAATATTATCGCATTGCGATCATAATAAATATACAAAACGCTACGTTCGAAGCCATTGCAAATAATGTACATATAGTATATAGTTATTAATATTATCTAGATGTATTACTATAGATTTAACATCTGTAAATACATTCTGTGATATTCAGACGTCTTCGCTACGAGAATAAATGAAAGCAATCCGTTGAACAGAGAGTAGATATCTTCAAAGAAAGAAAAAGAAAAAGTAAAATGGGTATAACAGAAAGCATCTTGACAGGGGAAGGAAGAAAACGTTAAGTGGGTTGAATAGAGAGAACGTTCGGAGACAGAGAAAAGTGGGTATAAAGTGCGTAGGGTAGACGGCTTCGTGTTTGATTATACCGATTATACCGTGACAACCACAAATCACTTAAAATATGTATATAATAAGTCTATTAATACTTGTAGTACATTTTTAGAAATCATTTTATAAATTCGTACCAGTCCTAGTATTTCCTTATACTTTTAATATTATGGTTGCATATTTTTTAAGTGAGTAACGTGAGTTTCAAATGCTTCAATATGTTGCTTTTTTAAAAAATGTTTAAACCCTAAAAATTCGAAAGTTCCTTAGGTGTAAATAACAAATAATATGTATACTGTAATCTTAAAAAAAAGTATACCTATAAATAAGTGAAGTAGTCCTTCTTTTGATGGAAATAAATTTTGAAGTATCCTTAACAATTCATCTAAATTACTTGTCTTTGTATAGTCTTGTATCATTTTTGCAAATATTTTGTAATTAACTTCTGGTAATGAACGTTTCACCTAAAATTGTTTATAGGTAATAGACGTAAGTATACACTTTGAAATGTTTCTGACTTAAAAATATTTTATACATTTATATTTATTTTATAAATCGATATGTACCTCTTTTAAATATGTTTTGCCCAAAACTGTTTTATCAATATCATTCGAGGGTTCTTCAGATATTTGCTTAGGATCTTTTAAATTGTCTATATCTTTTGTATTTGCACATGAAGAAGTTGAAGGACCAGATAACTGTGCATTAAATTCTAAAGGTAACATCTTTATTTTTCTCTTTTTTGTAAATGGTTCAACGATATCCTTTGATAGTAGACATGTAGTGTTTTTTAGTTTTAATTTGCAGTCACTAAAATTAATAACTGGTTTAGATTCTGTTTTTAAAAGTTCGGAAAAGATTTTCTTCTTTATTTCAGTTGATTTAGTATTCTTTTCACTTTCATTAGTATATGAATCGATGTGAAAAGTATCATCTGTTTCATATGTTACTTCGGATTTCTGTTTCAATGTATTTTTTGCTAATCGAGATATAGTCGTGTCAAAAGAAGCAGCCATTGCAGGTAAGGAAATACTGTTACTCGTTGATTGCATATTTGGTTGCGGCAACTGAAAACATTTTGAATATAGCAATGTGAATTATGATTTTTAAAACATGCATTTTACATTACATTACTATTTGCCTTCACGCAGTAATTAAACTCACTGTGTGTTCTGCATATTTAAAGAAGTCTCGCAAGTGTCTTGTAATCATTCCAAAACTAGTAAACTTTTTAATACAAGGTCTCAACCAAGCAGATAAATGCTTTTTAAAATTTTGGTTTTCAAATCTACAGTCACAAAGTATTATAGCTCCGTAATCATTTTTATGACGTATAATTCGTCCGATAGCTTGATTAACAGCTCGCGACGCTTCAAGTTGATACCATTGTTGGCCAGATAAGGCCTGAAAAAAAAAGTAAACAACAATATGTATAAAGTACTGCATCTATGCTTGATGCATTGAATATAAATTTAAAATTTAGTTACTTCTTTGTTGCTGCTTCTAATCTCTTCCAAGTATTGTTGTTTTAATATAATTCTTGGATCTTTTAAAGGTGGAAATGGAAGACCAGTAATTAACACAGCTCTACCATTTGCATTCGCAAAATCGAGTCCTTCGCTCACTTTTCCTCTACAAACTGCCATAAAAATTGCTCCTTTACAAGAGGGATCTTTAATTTTTTCACAGTATTCAGTCATAACATTTGCAAAGCCATCTTTGGATTGTGGTTCTACGTATATTGGCTAAAAATATAAGTATATTGGTATACATATGTATGCATTTGAAACAATGACCATGTGCATATATTAAAGATAATTACTTTATGATCTGCAATTTTTGTCCATAAATCTGTGTTCTGCCATTCCTCTCGACACTTTTTCATTATAGGATACGAAGGGAAAAAAACTAATAAACCATGAGGTATTAGACAACTAAAATTAAATATTGTTCGACCAAGAGATGCTATGTACTTGGGATCATTTCTAAAAGAAATTATATAATTCAAGTACATAACATGTTATGAATATATTAATGAAAAAATATTTTAAATAATAATACCTTGTGTTGAAGGAAGAGTTCAATGAATAACCATCAGGACCTTGGCCAAGGACACCCACACAGACTTGGTCTCCTTTTACTATATGTGGATTTTCTAATTGAACATCAATTGGTATTCCAAGTTCAGTTATAAAAGGTTTTAGAGGAGATAATGTGCCACTTGTTAATATCGTTGCGCGTACACCTTGTGCCATTAGCTGTTGCATGCTTTATCAAACATATGCATATTATAATTCACATGTGTATGTACAAATATACTTTGATTGAAATAATACAAATCAAAAATGTACTAAGTTTACCTAAATCCAGGACTAAAGCACCAATAACTAATAATTTTGCCTTCATTTTTTGAAATCGTTTTCTTTGTTTCCCAAACATCATTCTTATAAACTTTTTTTGGTTCCTCTAATTGAATGTATACCTTGTAACATTGTTTAATTTTTTCTCTATAACATACATTGTTACCACTGTTAAACACTATTCTTAATAGATCACTGAATTTTTGGAGCGCGTTACCTTTCCTTGCAAACGGAGAGGTACTTGTAGTTGTTAAATAAAGAACAATCTTTTCTAGTTTCTCTATTACTAGTTGTTCCTTACCATGCGTTAACTGTTAAAAACAATTATCAAAAATAAATATGTTAGACATGTATGATGTAGTCAAAATGTTATTAATAAATACTAACTTGAGCTTTTTCAAGTAATTCAAAAATATAGCCACCAGGAAGCGTGTCTCCTTCTTTATGTTTTATGATTTTTATAGAGTCAATAGCTTTCTCCACTTCTAAAAACATAGCTTTTAAAATACATAAATCATCCGCAGTAAAATCTTTTTGTACATTCCCAGAATTTTCCATTAAAAAGTCATTTTCCTTTTGTATACTATGAGCCATCTCTTCCATTACTGCTGTTATTTCATCAATACACATTGCAATATCTGTGCTAGATATCTGCAAAAATGTTATATTAAATTTGACATAACATATATTCCCTATTCTTAATATACTTAATATATACTTAGTATATTTTAGACATTATTGCATTATTTTAACACCTGGAATGATGCTGCTTCTTCACAAGTTTTCTCAATATTGTGTGCTTCATCTAAAAGAATGATACTATTCTGCAAATCTATGCCTTGGGATCTTCTTGCTTTTGGATCTAATATATAATTGTATGGTAAAAAAGTTATATCTGCAGTCTGCTTAAGTTCCTTAGATAAAAAGTATGGGCAACACTTGAATTTCTGTCCAGCTTTTACTAAATCCTCTATATCTAATACTTCCTGTTTAAAAAAAGGATCTTCTTTCCTATAGAAATGTGTTTCCTATTAATGCATTTCAGATATGAACCGACTATGAGTACCAAATGTTAAAAGACTTTACCTTGTTTCAACATTATTATAATAAAAACATGTTCTAGATTTTATTTTAGAATGACACATATGTATTTTATTGGAACTATTAGTCTCTTTGGATACTTCTGGGTGAATACAAAGTTGATCCCTGGATCCTAATACAGCGGTACTAGTATGTTTATAAGCACTTCTTTTCAACTCCTGCATTGCTTGTGAAAGTTGAGAATGTGTTCTAGATGCATAGATTATTTTTGGTGCAGCCCAAATAAAATTGATGGGAGGATCTAAATCACCTGTAGCTCCTTTAAGTTCATTATTTAACTTGTTAAAGAAATGTCCTCCAAAATTTGGTTTCTCTATTGCACTTACAATTGCTTGTGCTTGCAGTTGAGCTTTCTTCATTAATAACCAACTTAAGGAGGAACATAAGAGGCACAATGTTTTCCCTGTACCTAAAATATTTACATCAATTAATTTTCATTTCCAAGGATGAATAGTATGTAGAAATAATAAATATGATGCCACAATGTACCAGTTGGAGATTCTAAAACCCCATTTTTGCTATTCTGAAGGCATTCTATCACTTTTGCCATATAATCTTCTTGAACAGAATACGGTTTGAAAGGAAAATTAACAATAACATTGTTAATTGTCACGTCAGGCATTATATTAACAAGAATTTCACCAAGTATACAAGAATCTTTTCTTATTATACACAGAACATTTATACAAGTATTATAAGTATGTAACAGTACTGAACAGCACTAACCACACTTCCCGCCAAATTCTGAAATCAACATGATTCAACCACCGACTAGGTATAGAATAGACCTACCATCCAATGCTTTTTTCTGTCCCACGTTCGCAGGGCTAGTAGCCCTGTTACCATTTTAGTGTCAATATCCGACGTTACCGATAAAGCATGAATTCTGAGTATTATCACAGACGAGATATAAGAATAGACCTAACATACAATGTAATTTTCTGTCCCATGCTTCGTGGGCGTCAGAAATGGTCAGAAGCCCCCTTACCATTTTAGTGTCAATACCTGACGTTACCGATAAAGCATGAATTTTGAGTATTATTAACACAAATGAAGTGTTATATATTCCATTCATATTGCGTGTATCTATACGATTTGACGGGAATAAAAATATCCGCTGCTTCAGTTTAAGGTATAATATGATAAATAATATAATAGGATAAATATGGCAGTTATGAAACATGAAACGGAAAAGTATATATTTTTTCACTTAACTACAAGACAATTTATTCTAAATTTATCGTTAATGGACATTTTATTAATGTTACTTTTTACATGTTCTTGTTTTATTCGTTTTTATATCATGTCTTACATTTGTATATTTGTAACAGATAAATTCAGAATAGATGTAGTTTCATAAATAGTTTATCAAATCTACATGTGAGAGAATATATACACCGCTTTTGTTAACATTTACATATTTATAATTTATATGGGAGTATGAATAGTTTTACTGCCTATTGTAAGAATCTTAATAGGCACGAACAATTACTTTCTGGCAATTGGTAAATTTTTACATATGAATTTACTTACACGTTATTTACTTACAAAAATTTTATTTATTGCGAGTAATTAAATAATGGACGTATGTTAATATTCAGCTACGTGTCTCTCAAATAAAAATATACTATTAGTCCGATATTTGAAAATATGCATGCGTTCGTTGTCACTGTTAAACTGTTGTAATAACAATGGAATAATAAAATAATTTACTCAGATGTACATAATAATACATATACATATCCATAAAAACAATATTAAACGCAATAACTTTTTTGTAGACGAAGAAAAACTAATATAGAATCCAAGACTCCTTTCTAATACGTCTACTTTATAGCGAACGGACGGAAGAGAATCCGTTCACGACCATGTGACAATAAACTTCTTAGATTTAACGTAGTTCACAAATTCACCGCTCTCATAACGTAGAGGGCAGCAGAAAATCCCTGACATTTTACACTATCGGTATTTCAGAACATGAGACACGAAGTCCCATAAGATGATAGGTCTATCCTATACCTAGTCGGTGATTTAACATAGTTCACAAATTTACCGTTCTCATAACATAGAGGGCAGCACAAAATCCCTGACTTTTTACACTATCGGTATTTCAGAACATGAGACACGAAGTCCCATAAGATGATAGGTCTATCCTATACCTAGTCGGTGATTCAATACAATTATTATTGTCTTCGTCGGTGTTTACCTTAGCGTCATACATTTTATTATAATAAAGCAGTAGCGTGGGAAGAGTTACTGGACCATTGTTTATAATGCATGTATAATTGAACAGTAGTTTCATTTATTCTTTTTTATTGAAAACAATGTAATCAATAATATGAATATTTGAATTTGTTTAATTGTGACATACAAAATGATTAATAACTACATTTGCTTATTAGTTATCTTATTTATGTATCAAAGTGTAGAAAAACACAAGTTAGTGATTGCAACTGTTAAAAATATGATTTATGTATTTGGTAACAGGTGGCTTACATAGGGAATAATTGTAGTTAAGTTGGCATTCCTTTATTCTTTCTGTCAACATACATTTATAGGTTGGCAAAAGTTTTTTGTTAAAAAGGCGCTAAGCAAAAGGTGCGCAGTTCGAAGTATGCCCTCAAGATGTAAGCCACGTGTGGCAACCTGTGTTCTCAATTCTTTATTATTTTTTTGTATTGTATAGTCTTAGTTTAAATTAAATAAATAAGTTTATTTCTTTTGCAAACTAAAAAGAACTAAGGAACATTAAATTAAATCAACCTTTCCTCAAATTCTAACATGGTAGCAGGGCGTGGTTGGTTAAAAAAAAAAGAAAGGCGTTGAATGAAAAAGAAAGGAAAAATGGCGGACAATAGAAAAGAAGAATTTGCGTTGCAAGTATTTAACGGCTTGCAGTATGATAAGTAGAAGTTCAGACTAAAACTATTTCTTGAAATGAAAGAATACTTCGAAGTTATTCAACACGAAACAAGCCCAATGAAATTAAAGAGGCAGCTTGGGATAAGAAAGAAATAAGGGCGAGAAACTACATCGTCAACAGTGTAACTGATACACAGCTAGAAATGATTATAAAAGAAACAACGGCAAGAAAAATGATCAGAAAGCTGGATGAAATATACTTAGTAAAAAGCAGCGCAATCAAGCTTTTGTGCAAAAGAAAACTGCTGGACTTAAAAATGAAAGAAAGTGAAAATCCAACTGAATTCTTAAATGAATTTGAGAAGCTAATAAATGAACTAGGTAATGCAGGAGAAATCATAAGTAAGGATGATAAGTTAAATTATTTACTATTGGCCCTACCTGAAAGTCTTTCACATATAGTCGACATAGTAGATGCATTACCAGACAAAGAAAAATCAATTGAATATGTAAAGTCAAAGCTAATGTTAGAGTATCAAAAACGACAGAGTAATGTGAAGAATGATTTTCAAGCTTTTAATTCCAATATGTCACAACATAAAAGAAATTATAATTCCCAATACAAAAAATTTAGCACTAAAAGGTTCAATAATGAGCTACCAAGCAACTCGAGATTTTTAGAAAATAGAAACAAGACTTATAATCAAATGAGAAAATGTTACAGATGTAATCAGCCAGGGCACGTTCAATGTTTCTGTAAAAGTAATACAAATTGGCAAGACAGACCCTCAGGAAACTATGATTCAAGAGAAACAGCTGGAGCCTTTGAGGTGAAAAATAAAGATAAGAAAAACTCGTTCAACGTAGAAGTTATGAAAGCAAGAGTTGATACACAAATAAGGGCAAACATGAAAATGGAAGAAAATATTGAATGGCTGTTGGATAGTGGATGCTCAGACCACATGGTAAATACAGATAAGTATTTTTCTAAATGTAAGACATTAGAAAATCCTGTAAATATTAAAGTAGGTGATGGTTTCTCATTAACATCAGACAATATTGGAAATATTGATGTATATTTCAATGTTTATGGAAATTGGATAAAAACTGAAATCAAGAATGTTTATTGCGTACCAAAAATGAAACAAAACTTATTAAGTGTTCCCTGTATATTAGATCAAAATAACTATGCTACTTTTAAGAATAAAACTGCTAGGATTTATAATAGTGAAAATAAATTGATTCCAGTTGCAATACGAAAGACAAAATTATTTGAATTAGTTGGAAAAGTAGTAAATACTAAAACTGCTGAAAATATATCTTACACTAGCTTAATGGAAACGTCGAAGAAGGAAAAATGGCACAGAATACTGGGCCATGTAAATTTTAGAGATCTAAAACATTTATGCGATCTACAGTTGCTTGAGGGATTGCCAATAAAGATTGAAGATGAATTTTTAAAATGCGAAGTCTGCTTGGAAAATAAAATGATAAATATGAAATTTAAAAATAATAGAAGAAGAGCAAATGATATTTTAGAAATAATACACACCGATGTAAATGGTCATTTCACTCAAACTGGCTATACAGGTGAAAAATACTTTGTATCATTTATCGATGACTTTAGTAAAATTGCTGTAGTTTATTGCATAATATAAATATGATGAGGAACCGAACGGGAAAAAGATTAAAGGAAATCCATTGCGACAATGGGAAAGAATATTTAAATAAAAATCTTTTTTCTCTTCTAAGAAAGGAAGGAATACTAAGACCGTATCCACCTTACACATATGAATTGAACGGTGTTGCAGAAAGATACAACAGAACGATCATGGATCGGGCAAGATGCTTGCTAGCAGAAGCCAAGATTGATAAACGTTATTGGCCTGAATGTGTATACGCAGCTGCTTACATTGGAAACAGATTGCTAGCAAACACGAAAATTGACAAAACTCCGTATGAAATTTTCTTTAATAAGAAACCTGATGTAACAAACCTACGTATGTATGGAAGTAAAGTTTTCGTGAGAATTCCTGAAGTGCACAGACCTTTAAAGCTTCATTCGAAATCTGCAAAAGGCCTTTTGATTGGCTACACTGATCTTGGATATAAGGTATTGATTGAAAATAAAGTAATTGTTAGTCGAAATGTACAGTTAATTGAAAAAAATACAAAATCTATTACGATTACGCAATACGAGGATACAGAAAATGTTAAAGAAAATGAAATTGAAGAAAATAAAACAGAAGAAGACCAAGAAAAACGAGAAACTGAATCTGAAAATGAAAACGAAGAGGAAGACGAAAAAGATAAAATTGAAGAACCCACGAAAACTACACGTCCAAAAAGAGAAATACAGAGACCAAAAAAGTTTAATGATCATGTTGTTTACGTGCACTACTGTAGTGCAAAAGTACCAGAAAGTTATGACGAAGCAATAAATTGTCCAGAATCTAAAAAATGGATAAATGCAATGAAAGAAGAGATCAAAAGCTTAGAAGAAAATGAAACATGGTCGTTGGTAGATGAACTAGTCAACAAGGGAATTATTGAAGTAAAATGGATCTATAGAATCAAATCAGATGGAAAATATAAAGCTCGCGTCGTTGCAAAAGATTTTCAACAGGCATATCAAGAAAACGAAGTACTCTATTCACCAGTGGCGAGAACGAATACGTTAAAGCTCATGTTAATATTTTATCTTATCTTATTAAAATTACTATTTCAATTATGTTTTTTCTTTTTATATGCAGAAAAGCAAAAGACCATTCGGCATCATATATGCGTGGATCAGTTGCAGCATCTAATTGTAAAAATAATTTATCTATATACAACATAACA